TGTCAGATATTAAAAAAAAAGCAAAGACCTACTTGTTGGTCTACAACCACAGGGGCTCGTATCGTTGCTTACAATTTACCGTAACTGCTCCGGTGACCTAGTCGTTTGAGCGTCCGCCTCGGATGCGGGAGGTCTTAGGTTCGAACCCCGGCTGAGTCATACCAAAGACTTAAAAAAAAATGGTACTAACAGCTTCCTCGCTTGGCTCTCAGCATTAAGAGGTTAATGTTAGGACTGGTCGGCCTAGTGTCAGGATAATGTGACTGGGTGAGATATCATGCTACATGTCTGCGGCATGATGCTCCAGTGCCAAACATCACTATTAAACTGTAGCTACGATGTCGTAGCCTCGACTTATTTTTGTTGCGTGTCCACAAAAGGACTTGGGTACTAATATTAGTACTATATTAAACTGCCGTGCTGCAGATATCGTAGCGATATATTAAAAAAAATCATAATCACACACTATTTACCGTCGTTCATGAACTATATAATAACTAAAATAAAATTGGTTTTGTCATGGATACCTAGAAATTCTTCCAAGTAAGTCGAGTGTTGGTCCCTTTGAATAAATCTTGTTTAATAGTTTCCTACATAAACCTGCACCCAGTGTTTGCAGTTTAATAAAAATACCAGATATCAAGATCGAAATGAGATGAAACTTTTATGAATTTATTTTCTGTCATGATTTCTTATGATTCCACTTTTTTTTACCAGTGTAGATGAGCTTCATTTTCAACATGTTGAAACTTTTGTCAATTAAGGTTGGATTTGAGTTCACATAATAATCATTGAGTGTTATCCTAATTTTAACAACAGAGGAGATTAAATTGAGATTTATCAATAATGCAATGAAAACCAATAAAAGGGTATGTTGACCTTCTGATCCAGTAATCTATTTCCCTAACTCCCAGACCAGAAATTTAAACCGAAAAATAATAAGCAGGATGGTAATGCCAAAGGACAGCAGAACATCAAACTTCTATTGGTGACTGTTCTATTGGAAAGCTCAATTTTGATCAAATTGTTTACCAACATTGCAATAGTGGTTAACACAAACTTGTTTTTTTTTAATAAAAAAAAAAGATTCTGCATGACCTTTTTACTAAATATAAAGCATTACTGAAGTGCAGCAAGAAAATCACACAGCTTTGCCTTGTTTATTTCATAGAGCCAGAGACTTTTGTGACATATATAGTGGGTAGAAAATTAAGTGCTGCTTAAATTGTTTCCAGTGTTGCTGATATAAGCTCTGTTGTATCATTTTTAGACAAGATGTCAGACAGGAAGGCAGTCATCAAGAATGCTGACATGGCTGAAGACATGCAGCAGGATGCTGTTGACTGTGCCACACAAGCTTTAGAGAAATACAACATTGAGAAGGACATTGCTGCCTACATCAAGAAAGAATTCGACAAGAAGTACAACCCAACATGGCACTGCATTGTGGGACGTAACTTTGGAAGCTATGTCACCCATGAGACTAAGCATTTCATTTACTTTTATCTTGGACAAGTTGCTATCTTGCTGTTCAAATCTGGATAAACCTGTTGTTACATCATGGACTCCAATCCTGTAATAGGACTAAATGTCAGTATATGATGGCTGATATAGTGACTCTATCTTTGTTAAGAACAATTTTTGTTCTGCTGATAAAGGTGCATTTAAATTTTTTTTGCTGATTTTTGCTCAGCAGTGCTATAGAACAAATGGAAGATCTGATTGCCGTAATTGAGATTGCTTTCCTTTTTAATTTAGATACAATGTATTACTGTGCCATTAATGGACCACCAGTCCTTATGCTTTTGTTATAATATTTAGAGTCAAATGGTCAAATGATTTTTTTCAGTCACTAATGTTTTTAAAAATATATTGTACCTAGTTTACAGAATATTTTTGTCTGTTTTATACATTTATTTCAAGAGACTGCAAATTAAAAATTAAAAACACAGTTATGTTTGCTGGTTGTTTTTAATAGCAAACATAACCCTTTTCATGCTGCAGTAGCTTTTATAACCTCTCTATTCTCCACTGTAGAAACATTATATTTGGGCATATTGATGAAACTATAGTGCGCAAACCACTCTGCAATAACCTGAGGTTTGTATTGACATTTGGCAGACACTTCAGACCTTCAATGAATTGGTGTATATAGTTCTATTATTTTTTTGTTCTATTCATTAATGAGTGTATGTACATGTAATAACTTCAATTAAGGCTATTCCTATTCTTTACCCTGTACTAGTTAACCTGGTGGTTTCCCATCTTTACCTTTGCAGATCAAAGAGCAATAATAGTGCTTTGTCTTATCGACATCTGTTAGATTACATGTGTTGCCTCTCTTACTATATACTGCCAACTAACCAATAATGTGCATTGTACAAAGGTCAAAAACAGTGATGGCAATTGACTTAAATAGGATACTTCATAAGTTTGACATTCTAAGTAAGACTGTGTACCAGAGGAAGCCATTACAGGTCTTTTGGAGTGAAAGGTATTTGTGCAAACACAGACCAGTACTGGAAAAGTGCTTATTTATCAGTCCTTTCATGTTGTATGCTCACCTTGTCTTGATCAGATAGGAACAGCGAACAACTTAATTTTGATAAGATGCTGTGCCTTGTGTCGCATCCAAAGATGTTCACAGACCCACACAAAATATCTGCTCGACATTCCAAGATGTAAAATTGTTCCCTTGTTGTATCATCTACATCAGTGGTGCACAACATATAGCTGCTTATGGCCTATGGTATTTTGTGTCTGTATATAAAATGTGTATTTATGCTTTTATGATTAACAAAAGCTAATATGCTGCTTAGTGCAATCTACATCAATTCTGGCCAATGAGCACTTCTGATCTGCTTCACTTTTTATAGCTGATATATTGTGAAGGTAGCAGTCCAAGAATCAAAACTACTTGAATATCCTTTCCAATGCAGTTTCATTTCTTTAAGCCAATTTTATTGAAAAATGCTATTGATATCATATAGGTTTTATTTCTTGATCACTCTTAACTCCGGCAAGTAAAAGTTCATTTTACCAGTTTTCGATTTAAAGATGGGTACAATGTACAACTTTGTACTGGGGTATACTGCAGTAATTTAGACCATGCCATGATATACCACATTTACATTAGGGTCCAGTAATTTAATGTACTGGAACAAAGATTTGCTGAAAAGAAAGATTTTGCTTTCATCTATAGCAAAATAACACCGATATATTCTTTGAGGAAAAAATATTCTTGGCTTAAAAGAAAATCACAAACCCATGCCCCCAAAATTTAAATGGTCAGTATTTTATAATCAATGAATATGCTATGCTAATTGTTTAAGTTGTACTTAAATACCATATAATGCAATGATTCAGCTTCCACAAGTTCACACATTGTTCTACCATTGGAGAGCTTGTTGATAATGATGAAAAGTATTGATACTGAAGCCTACAATTTGCCATCACTATTAGTATCAGCAGAGAAATTATGGGACGCCAACACCCAGCTAAGAGATCGAACATACATCACATTTACCCAACAGAAGTGAAAATATTTAGAAGACTTAAGAAATTATGTAAGATTCACACAGAACACAACTGCTCTCCAAAAATCTTAAAATGATTCACGGTCTTACAAAGGAATACATGACTTAACACATTAACATAAGCTAGTAAATAACTGAAAAGTAAGATTTGGCCTTAACATATTTAACATCATCCACTTTGTCCACCATGCTAGCATACCTGTTGAGTGGCTGATTAAAGAATAATGTATGTACTTTTATTTGTTGTATTCAAAATTAGTGACATGCAGCTATTTATATAAAAAATTCAATTATTTTGTCATGGAAAATACACATGTTGGTAAACTTCATTAAAATCATAAGATTGCTCAGGAATTTACATACTGACAGAAAAATATAGTTAACAATGAAACAGTATCATAGTACATGCCAGTGAAAATAAAAACTGCAGTAAACCACTAATACTGATCCACCTCTTGTATATTCCAGTCTATGGACAGGAGGATCACATCCATTTATTGTCCAGTGACACAAAATAGTTTGGTTTTCTAGTTAGGTAAACAACCTAATGAATCTACAATCTTTAACACTTCTTTATTTTCTTGTGATAGGTGATCTTTCAAAACCATAGATCAAACACAAAACTACATTTTCAGAGAACATTTCTTTGGGTGCACCTTCAATGGTACAATTGACTGCAAGCTTTGATGAGTCATAACAATCCATAACTCACTGTTGTTTCAGGATTTTCGTTGGTAAAAAGGTGAATGACTCCTTCGTTTTAAAAAGGTTGGTTTTAAAATTCATTGCTTTTGCCTCTTAAATTATTATAAACGATTCCAATGACTGTTCAAAACTAGTTGAAAAGAATGCCCACTGTTTGATGCTTCACTCATCTGTGATCATTTTTTTTTTTGTTGCTGGTTTTGAAGCAGAAAGTCGTCTTTTCTTGTCACCTGAATCAGATTTTCATTACTATATTCCATATATTTTATATAATCTCTTGATCTGGTTTTTAAATAACCATTTGTCTGGTCCAATCCAATGCCAATCCATATGATAGTAATTGTTCTGTGTATTATTGAACAGACTATCATTCTAAAAAGCATTCAGATTGGTCAATAGTTTCAACTTGTCCAATGAATCTTGATGTAACAGAAATAGAAAGAAAAAAACTTGCTAACAAAACATGACATCTTTAATTATAGAACTATAGAGACCGATACAAAGCTTATAAAGGTTTGAAATATGCATGGAAATTGGAATGACTTACTTGCACACAAAATTAGTGAGAATGTAGTTGGCCGATTTGTAAGAAAACTGAAGCAGATAACTTTGCCAGAAAGATTTGAACTACAACTGCAGCCAATGTGCATTGATTTATTACAAATAATTTTCTCCTGGCATTGTCTCAGCTTTGAAAGCTTCAATAAACCTGAAAACCATACTGTATTATTCAATGCAACATATCTTTATAATAAAACCGCTCCGGTGGTCTAGTGGTTAGAGCTTCCGCCTAGGATGTGGGAGGTCGTGGGTTTGATCTCCTGGTCGAGTCATATCAAAGACTTACAAAAATGGTACTAACAGCTGCCTTGCTTGACCCTCAGCATTAAGAGGTTAGTGTTAGGACTGGCCGGCCTGGTGTCAGGATAATGTGACTAGGTAAACATCATGCTACATGTCTGCGGCATAATGCTCCATAGCTAGACATCTTTATAAACTGCCACGCTGCAGACATCATAGCCATATAACTGAAAAATCATAATGACATCACATCTTTATATTAATATTTATACAACGACCCTTAGATGTATTAAATTTGTCCCTGTAAACTAAGTATATGTAAAAATAATTTCAATCCTTAAAATAATTAATTTTAACATATTCACTCTCTCTACTAATTCTCCCTAAACTGACACATTTTAACATTATATTCACTCTCTACACTAATTCTCTATAAACTGCGCTTTATTGCTTCATCAGACTGAATTCAAAATGAATTCAATACCATTGTTTACGTCATTAAATATAAATTGACAACTAATTATAACTGACAACTAATAGTAATCGATAGTCAGTATTTAAAAAAAAAAACAGTTTATAAAATAATAACATACATTCTCAACATGATTGTGTCATAATTTATCAATACTTAATAATTGTTTGGACTTTATCGCCCAATTTTCGGTCATTTAAATCTGCATAAATAAGTAAATAAATAAATAAGTATTTCGGCTAAGTTAATTGTGTCATCAGTATAATTAACAACACACACACACACACACACACACACACACACACACACATATATATATATATATATATATATATATATATATATATATATATATATATATATATATATATATATATATATATATATGGCCTTGTCAAGCTTTGTATAGCTTTCTCAGACTTTATCTGGATTTGTTCGGCTTAGCAGTATTTGACAAGTTGTTTTCCCACTTCTCGGGTTCTTTAATCGAGAATGCTTTCGATGCTGTACACTTGATCCTCCTCTTTGGTCACACGTTGTTACTCGTGCAAGTACAAAATTTCCTTTTAACACTTCCCAGTTCATGTCTTCCAATTAATAGACGGCAGGATGACGGTCACGCACTCGTCCAGTGACAAGAAAAATTCGTTGGTCCTGTTGTCGAAAGTTCTTATGGTTTTGCCAATGTGCATCCAATCTCCCGTTGTTAACAATCCAACTTTCTTGGGAACAACCATAGTCGGGGACGTACCAAACAAATGCTTTATTGTCTGGATTCACTTCTTCAGGGGCACTTCCGATGCTCCGATGGTAAGATTGGTTGTACGCTTCGACAATGTGAGGTAAGACGTCGATGTACTTGAGTGTGTTGATGCGTAAAATATTTCTACATGCATTCTTTCAAGGTGCCTTGAAAACGTTGAATCTAGCTTTGGATTTCGGGGTTCTCATAGGTGAAAAAATTTGAATGTCTTGTTTTTTTTTTTAATTCTTGTTGTAAAGCTTGGTTCATCAATTCGGTGCCTATGTCGATATGCCATTGAAGAGTGTGACGACCAATTTGGTTCAACACCAGTTTTAGGGATCGCACTAAGTTAGTTCTTGATTTGAAAGTCAATGTCACGACTCAGGCATATTTGGAAAACAAAACGTAGATCACACAAAGTAAATATTTGCAACCACGATTGTAGATGACCAAATGAGACACTTCGGCTAAATTGGCTTGACATTTATGATCGATGTACTTCACTCGAGTGCTGTGTTTGGAATGTTTTTGTTGAATGGGTTTGTTTAAGGTGTATGTGGCTTGTTCTTGTAACGATCGTTGCATTCGATGTAAACGGGTATGTTTCAGTCGCTTTTTGGCAGTACCATACAGTTTATAATTTCTTCCGAATCCCGCAGAATGCTTGCTAACAAATTCTCAATCAGGGCTGTCTCTCTCTAACTCCCTTTAATAGGTCACCCATTCTTCAGTGATGTTACCCTGACTGGCCATAGTACACAATTAATTTCACTATATTGTCTCTACATTTGTTTCTCAGTACTGAACTTTCCACTGTGTGACAATCAATACAAATCATATGTTAATCTAAAATACCCTCAAAGATGACTTTACGGTTTAGTTCTTGTCAAGGGTTGACCTGCATTTTTCTGAGAGGCTGAATTGTAAACAAAACACCAGGCAACGGAACACAGATTTCACTTACGGATCATCACCATGACCTTATTACTCAATGTGCACTGTCGCCGAAATACATACAGACAACCACACCATAAGCTCACATTTTAAAGAATAAACAATTGCCTTTAAATCCTTACCAAGAATGCCAAAATCTGACTCTAGTATCACCACCAAACTTTGACAGGAAAAAGTGATCTAAAAATAGACTGGGATTATATTCGTGAGTACTCAACCGGATTTTATTAATTGTGTACTGATTCCTGAAAGGGTCAATGTTTTTGTCAAACTTTTATATTTGCATTTTATTTTGCATGCCACTACTATTTCAACTTCATACATAAAGTCTTTTGAAATTTCCTTGCAAGCAAAACACGTGACATCTATTAGAAAGTGTGTAGTTCTGGTGTTCTATAGGGTGCAATTTGAGATCCAATTGTTCTTAAGAAACCAAAACTAAATTTGCTATATCTTCCTTAATTATAGGAATTTTTAATGCAGTAAAAACCTAATTGTAATACTTGATAAGGCCTGTCTGAAAATATTCTTGAAATTAAAAACTATTGATAATTTAAATATTAATGAATTTTTAAATAAACATCTAAATTTTAAAAACTATTTATTTTACAAAAATTAAATTTTCATACAAATTATGACATTCAGTTTGACAAATTTAAGGCAGAAAAGTTGATTAATGATAATATAACTGATAATATTAATCCCAGGGGTATTGAAGCATGATAGCTCACAATGATTTTGACAGCAAATTGCAACATGCCTATCCAGATGCATATAGGTGTACATACTAAAGAAACAATGATAGGTGCTATGTTCCACATTTATTGTTTTAGGTACTTTGACAGTTGTTTGTATAACTAATAGCCCACTCAAATTTAAAGTTTTGATGGAACCACTACCATGTTTTATAGCAAATATGCATTTCATTTTAATGCCGATAACTACAAAAATCAAGAATGCAACATGAAAATACAGTTTCAGGGAAGTTCAACCTTACTGAAAAATGATGTGAATCTCTGTCATGAAGTTCGAAGCCATGTCTTTGAGATGCTGTATATCAGTGTACTGATATGAACTCATCTTGGTCACTTATAGCAGCACACTGCACATGTCCTTATGAGACCTTGCAATCACCATTGGACTACTGGAGAGCTTCCAAAATGATACAACTCTAATACTTTTTTCCAGATACCAGGCTAGACCTGAAAAGATATAACATGTTTCACTTAATTCTAAAAAAAACCCCGGAAAGATGTAGGCAAATGAAGTTAAAATGTGTTAGAAATGGTGATTTCAAAATAACATTCAGGTTGCAAATAGGGTTAAAAAAGGTAAACTTGATAGAGTGACACTCAAAGATGTGAAGCAATGGGCATGTATTAAAGTGACAAATTCCTCCTAAAAATAGATGAAGTTTCTACAAGCATATTTAGCCATTTACAGGTTAAATAAATAATCAGGTAGAATATGTATCATAAAGTTTAAGGCAATGTTGTAAGGTGAGGTTTGATCATTGGTGCAAACATTGATACATACCAGTGTAATGGAAAGTCAAATGACAATGTAATAAATTAAAATTTATTACTATATGCAATCCTATTCATGAAGGAAAAACAATTTTAGATATTGTGAGTGAATATAGCAAAATGTGGCCATACAGATCAACTATAGGTACCAATAGATTTTATATCATCAACTAAATGTGAAATTTTCATCCCGAAAACTTGTAAACAAGGATGGAAATTTGCATGTGTGGGACAGATGCAATGTACTTGGTAACATCACGTGTGCAAACATGATTCAAATAATCTGTTTGAACATTTTTAGTCTATTTTTAAGAGTCTTGGCTACCAAGTTATTAAGTTCAATGATTCAATGATTCAATGGAACCAGATATCAGCTGATGCTGCAATACCGCCCTCTGTCAAAGTACCAAATTGAAATGTGTTACCATACAGAGGCATATTCATGATGAAAATAACATCTTGGGATATTTTAAGTGCACACAGTCAAAACTGAGTCTTACAGATTCACTATAAGTACTATGTCAGCCTAACAATGTCAACTTTTGATTCCAAACATTACAAAATATATGCATATTTGTTCATGTCAGCTATGTAACCATATTAGGATCAGTTGTAGAAAGTTAAAATCAAATAATCTGTTTGAATATTACTTATGTAATCGTTAAATAGTCAGATAAAAAATATTATTAGTCATTAATAATGCTTAAAGCAAAATGGATCATGAGAATTCTCACAATATCATCTGGGCAACACTGCCGCACTACATCAATCAACATCTTAAAGAAACTGAACAATAAAATGGAATGCATTCTGTGTTCAACTTACATCATTTTGCTGTTTTCTTACATGCAATGGTAAATTTACCTGGGTATACCTGGATAAAGTATAATTTACCCTCTTTGACCTGTATTTCATTCTCTGACATCTTAATATGATTTTGTAGAGAACTTGAACAGGTTCTAGTATAAAGTCTTCATCTCTGTCCTCTCACTAAATATCCTATAACTATGTTTATAAACAATTACTGATAGCTATACAAGCAGATATGTGTTACTCAGGAAGTCAACCCATCATAAACACATAAATTAACTGTTTGGACCACAAATAAATAGTTTCAATGACCTAAAGGTACAAAGCAAAGTAGAATTTTGTCTTCATGTATTTTAAATGAGGGTCTCATTTTGACTAATAAAGATATTTTCTCTGATCAAATTTGACAAATATCCATCAATTGAGCTTGTATATGGTGTAGAAGTATATATATGCTGATATATTTTCATATCATTCCAAATAAATATTATATATGAGAATACTTGGTGGAAAAAATTTATTTTT